CACATATATTAAAACAGGTTACTGATTTTCAAAGTTAGAATACGGGAAAATATAATCAATGCTGAAACTAGGCCAGGGTGGGGAAACTTTTTGACTTGAGGGCCATAATGGGTTCTTAAACTGGACCGGAGGGCCGGAACAAAAGCATGGATGGAGTGTTTGTGTGAACTAATATAAATTCAAAGTAAACATCATTACATAAAAGGGTACGGTCTTTTTTTCCAATAGTTTTATTCATTTCAAACGGGCCAGATCCGGCCCGCGGGCCGTAGTTTGCCCACGGCTGAACTAGGCTGTGATTCAAGATATTTTGTGTCTGTCCCTTTTACTAATAATAATAATAAAAAAAAAAAAAAAAGAAATATCCTCCCACTGGCCAATCAGTAATCCCATGTTTGTATGGGAAGTGCAGCTGCAGTTGGGTCAGTGAATGTTACTATTTAATTATAATTCAATTAAAATCTAATTTAATTTCTAAAAAAAAACAAAACAAAAAAACCAAAACAAACAAACAAACAAAAAAAGATATTTTGTGACTTTCAGTGGCTGAGGGTTAAAATGAGCAGCAGGTTTAGACGATTAAGCTGAATTTGCTGTTGTGAAACAAAACGCAGCAGTTGCTTTAAAAATAAATCCCACATATTAACTTTTACCTTGCCATTTGTGGCTTTATCATAAAAGATGAAAGAAAAATACATAAAATCCCAGCTTTTTAAGCTTGCTGGTTGTTTAAATCCCAGGTAAATGGTGTTTACCTTAATAATGGCCTTTAATATACAAAGGTAACCTTACCATCACCATTATCAGGCCTGCTTATCTGAGTGTGGGAGTGGGTTTGTGATAATCCAATGATTTCTTCCATTCTTTTAAAATGAGGCATATTTTATGTATTTGGTTAGGGTCCAATCAACGTAGCCAACTAGCGTTAGCCAGTTGTCTTTCAGTGGATGTCAGGAAAGGACAAATTGCACTTCATTGAATGTTACCTGGAAAGACTGGTGCCCAATTTTTGATCTTTGAAAATTAAAATCTCAATGCATGATTAGTTGATTGTCCCACTGTAATCTTAACATAGAAGGTAATTTTTGACTAAGATGATGGGTACTCAAATACACTGCTTTTCAAGCTGACTTGTGAAGCCTGTTTTCTCATTTTCAATCTATGCAGACTAATAATTTTGCAAAATATAATAACAATGAAATGAAACAGTCATACAAAATACAAGGCCTAATTTATATTATAATATTATGTATATTCTATTCACCAGCTATAAAGTTACTCTGTCAAATTGCTCTAAATATTTATGTTTATGCTCAATTTCTGTACTGTCCAGTCCAGTGACAGTCTGCAGCCTGTGAGTAGGTGGCACTGCTCTAATGTAATGCCTCTGTCACAGGATTTCATTCCTGGCCATTCTGAATGGAAAACACTACTTATATTAGAGAGTCTACTCTAGTCTCACGATTGAAGAAACAAAACCAGGTAATTTCTTGAAGGCCCTTGCTTGCTGACTTCCGATCTGGGCCGCGTGGGTCCATGCCTGCTTGTGGCTTCCTTCCATCTACACAGGAAGCCGGGTCTCTGGGCTCATGCTGGGCCACTGCACCTTGAGCTCTGTATTCTACCAGGGGCCTCCTGAGCTGCCAGGTTTTGATGGTTAGAGATATCGTCGTCCTTTCTTACGTTTGGCTTCAGTGGAAGGGAGGAGGAGGAAACACTTAAATCGGGTGTAGCTCTAGGAAAGGTGTCCTAGCAGGTTCTTTGCCCTGCGAAGAAGACTTTCATTTTCCTGGATTTTAATCTCAAAACATCTTCAGTTACCCTTGGACTGTCGCCTTAGCCCATGACTCAGTTAAATACTGACTATACAACTCTTAACTACTTGGTGTTCCATTGTACACATTTCACCGTACCCATATTGATGGACTCCTGCTTAATGGTCCTTGCCACAGTATCTTGATGAATATTTCTCCTTAGCTCAGTATAAGATGTTTTGCACAAGCCATCAAACAGTCTTACTTCATTAGAGTTTGAATTTTATTTTATTTTTTTTTGCAGGGCAGTAATAGGTAAGTTAATGTTGCTAAGAAAGCCATACAAAAATTTCTGTTTTTCTTTTGTTCCATCTGTTCATTTTTATCTTGAGTAATTTAATGATTTTGGGTTCTACTTGGAATTGCCATATTTAAAAAACTGCCATAAAGCAGTTTGGCTAATTTGCTCAATTAAAATATATTTCACAGTGGGAAGAAATAGCATGATTAATGGGTAACAATAACTTCTACTAGAAAAGAGATTTTATTTTTTTGTGAAGAAGTCTAAGCATAGCCCTAGCTGGTTTGGCTCAGTGGATTGAGCGTTGGCCTACAGAGTGAAGAGTCCTGGGTTTGATTCTGGTCAGGGGCACATGCCTAGGTTGGGGGCTCGATCCCCAGTAGGGGATGTGCAGGAGGCAGTCGGCCAATGATTCTCTCATCATTGATGTTTCTATCTCTTTCTCCATCTCCCTTCCTCTCTAAAATCAATAAAATATTTTTTTGGGAAAAAAAAGTCTAAGAATATTATGGATTTATTTAATCTAATTGCATATCTAAATGTCTCAAGTTGTCCAAGCAAAGTAATCCTGTATAGGTTTTAGCTAACCTCTCTGTACAGATCCCCAGGTAAATTCCACCACAGGGCTACACACTAGATGACAAAGTCAAGGACATGTTAGATATAAAGAACTTTCAAAACTGGGCAGGTGCTAACATAAACCATCATTCACACACCAGAAAATAAACAGCACCTTTGCTTTAACCAGCCTCCTAATGAGAACATTTCCCCAAACTCAGCCTTCTGCCTTCTGTTCCCCTCAGACCCACTTCTATGGTTTCACCATTCATATCCCAAGGTCAGTCCCACAATTCAAATATTTCTATTTTGCATTTCTCTCTCTGCCTCAAATTGACCTAAAATAAAACCAATCTGCAAACCTTTGAGTTGGATGAGATCCTAGGGGACATTCAATTTGGACTTTAATGGCTAAATGAATCGCTTTTATAAAACTTGCAAGAGGGGGCTCTCTAATCTCTCTCCTTTAACAGCTCCAGCTCTAGGGAACTCCCATCTCTCCATGGCTATTCTCAGTACCTTGTTCCAACCCCAAGTCTCTCTCCAGGTTTTCCCAGCCTGGAAATGATATCCTCTTTCTAGTTTCCAAGCCCCTTCCGTCAGCACCGTCTTATTTCTCCCCAAACCCTTCATTTCTATTCAGGTAGAGGATGGATCAAGCCTAACATTTTTAATTGGCTCCCTCTCTAAGCCCCGTAATTCCTAGCACATAATATTGGTCGTCAATAATTAATTGCTGACTAATTGATATTTTAAATCTATCAGGAGCTCAACCTTAGCAAATGAGGGTTTCTTGTGCTTCAAGAGATGTTTTTGATCAAATAGCCAGATGAGAATTATGTCATGTTAATCATCAATTAGAAATAAAGCTGCAGTTCATTAGTAGATGAAGTGATAATTGTATAGCTTATGCATCATTTAAAGACTCCCTTGGAGAAGAAAGTGCTGTATGTAATGGGAAGTGATATTTCAGAGACATTTTGGTAAAATCTACCCAGTTCACAGCAGAGAGCTCATTCTTTTAAATTTCTCATATTTTTCTTATCCTCCACTATGCAGACCCAGTCTAGCTTTCCTGTTATACCAGTAATGATAGCATCTTAAAATTTCATTAAAGATGCAAAAGTTGAACCTTTGGCAGTCAATTCTGTTTGATTTACTTTTGAGATCACCTTAGTGGATGATGGAAATAGGAATACGTATTTTAGTTTTCTTTAAATACCCGAACACAAAACTACACCTAAAGATCAGTGATGTACAGTTCAGTAAGGCCCAGATTCCTTTCTGACCCAAGATATAGCATTAGAGGGAAAAAACTCAGAGATGAGTAAATCACCGTTATTAATCCAAGTTTCCAAAAGCTGTGTTGCCGTGGTAAAACCTGCTAAAAACAGCTGGATGGTGTGGCTCGGTGGTTAAGTATCCATCTATGAACCAGGAGGTCATGGCTCCATTCCTGGTCAGGGCACAGTAGGGGGTGTGCAGGAGGCAGCCATCAATGATTCTCATCATTGATCTTTCTATCCCTTTCTCCCTCTCCCTTCCTCTCTGAAATCAATAAAAAAAATCTTATTAAAAATATTTAAGGAGAAAACCCTGCTAACAACAGTAGGACTCATGCTGTTGTTTAGAACCTGAACTAGATAAACCCGTCAGAGTAGACTAATTCTCCTCGCCTCACACTCTAGTTAGAAACTCTTTCATTACAGGGAATGCAGTGTTATTTGAGGACTGCTACTTCCCAGAGGATCCAGTGAGGTAGAAATGAATATAAAAAACAAGGAAGATTACTCTCTCCTGTTTAAAAATTTATAACCAATGAACTTCTAAAAGAATTAAGCAGGCATTCGAACAAGTACATGTCCATGAGTGTTAATAGCAGCAGTGCTCACAAGAGCCAAAAGGTGGAAACAGCCCCAGGGTCCACCGACAGATAAATGGATACACAGATTGTGGCATAGCCAATGGAGTACTATTCAGCCACAGAAGGAACGGAGTACTGATCCTTGCTATAAGGTAGATGAACCTTAAAAACATTATGCTAAGTGAAATATGCCAGACACAAAATGTCACATTTCACATGATTCCATTTATAGGAAATCGTCAGAAATAGATAAACCCATAGAGACAGGATGTAGATTGGTGGTTGCCAGGGGCCACGGGGAGGAGGGAATGGGGAGCGACTGCTTAATGTAAGGAGCTTTCTTTTGGAATGATGGAAATGTTCTGGAACTAGATAGATATGGTGGTTGAACGACACGGCGATTATACTAAATGCCACTGAATTGTTCATTTTAAAATAGTTAAAAAAAAATAAAACCAGTGAACTCAAACCCTAAAACCATATTCTTGCCTTTAGAATACTCTCCATTGGGCTTGGCACTTACCTTGCACACCATGGCCGTCTTTGCTCCAAGCCTAGCAGCTTGGACACACTGGTTGGCACCTTTCCCTCCAAAGCCAATAAAAAACTTATGTCCATGGATGGTTTCTCCGGTTTTTGGCAAACGAGAAGTAAGACTGTCATAAGTTAAAAGGAAAAGGAAAAAAAAAACACACACACATTGGTAACTGCAGTCAGTTTTAAGTTCTTCAGCAGAGAGAGGGAAGGCTGTGGGGTGGAGCTCTAAGCAGTCAGAACCGCAGGCAGAAGCAGGGGAGGGAGAGGACCTTTCCTTTTGGACAACCTTCAGTAGTTTGCATCACTTTTGAGAATGCATCTGCCTGACAGGATTCCTCTCCCCCACTGCCCTGTGCTCCCATAGCCCCACTTCAGATGACAGCTCCTGGGGTCTGTACTGCATCAGGGCCGTTCAGGGGAGCCTGCTTTACATCTCGGGGAACTCTCAGAGGGAAGGAACTTCATATTCCTTCTCAATGCCCAGCACAGAGATTTACTCACAGAGGGACTTAATAAATGGGGCCGAGGTAATGTGTGCTTCTGCCCAGACTTATCTGGTTGCTTTAATAGCAGGAAGGAACTAGGACTTTGGTAATCATGCTCAGGACTTCAGGAGAAGAGAGAAGCTGCAATTCCAGGCGCTAAAGAATCTTACTTGTTTCCTGGAGGGTGGGATAGGAGTGGGGTATTTGGATGGCAGTTCAGGGTTTCATCCTAATCCATCCTTTATATTACCCATTTCGTGCACTGACTAAAAAAGAGCATCTGTTTTAAAAAAAGTGGATTAGAGCTAAGTTTAGTTTTACATTTTACTACAGAAAAATCCAAACACATAAAACTAGAGAAAATAGTATATTGATTTTCCCTATACCCATCACCCAGATTCAACTATTGTCAACTGTTAGCCAATGTTGTTTCAGTCTACACCTTCATCAACTTCAAGAACTAAGGATTTTTACTAACAGGTTATTACGGACACATTACTGCTTAAAGGTAGCATTAAATGAGGCAAAAAGTACAAGTAAAAAGTTTGCTCCAGTATATGGTTTTCCTAACAGTCCAGGTGGAAGATGTGAGGAAACAAAGTCTTTGAAGGACAGAAGACTTTAAAATGGAAAAGGAGTCCTGGGTGGAGGGGCAAGTGAAGAAGATGGGCTCAGCGGCACGAGGACTGGTTGACTGGCCACAAAGAAGTGGGCCAAGGGCCAGATGGAGCAGATGGGGAGGTGGCACATCTGACCAAAAAGGTTAATTAGCTTTAGGCAGGAAAGAAAGGCCAGGAGAGGAGTTTACCATGGTAAGTCAACCGAGAACCCACTTTGTTTTAGGTTAGACATTTATGTTCATTTCCAATAGAGACTGTGGTCTATCCAAAACCAGTATCTTTTTGTATAAGAGTCACGAAACAATGCCAGTTCCTACAGGTCACTGACAGCCTGTTTGCAATGGGATGCCATATGACTACTGGCAGGAACGCATGATTGTGTCAATAAAGACCAAGTCCAACCTGTGAACCTCCTTTCTGTAGCTCTAAAAGTCTCAAACTGAACTGAGCTACTCCATTCCCTAGCATTGCACTGTCAAATATGGTTATTTGAGATTCAAGAGATTCATCAATAATTTGAAAACATCCCACTCCACTCCTCCCCTTTTCAATTCTATTTTTATCTCGGATTCTAAACGCATTTATAGTACCGATGAAAAAAATATACATCTACAAGGTTCACTTCTGAAAAAGGCACTCAATCAAGGGAAAAATGGTTTTAATGTAACGTTATTATCCTGTCATTTAATTTAGCAATGACAAGTGATGATGAGATTTTGATTTGCATCAGAAATCTTAAACATTTTAGGATTCTGTTATGAACAGGCAATGATGAGTAATCTGTGTGATTGAGTAACTATGTGAATTCTTGGCTTATTGATGCTGCTATAAACAACATTCCTAACAACTTTAAAAACTATCCAATGTGGCAAAAAACAGACCAAATAATTTAATTAGTAAGACTGTCACTAAAGAAATGTATGACTTCCACTATATTTATACTTAGATCTGGGTCACAAGCCACTGGTTTGAATCAAGTGTATTTATGATCAACTGTGGGAAACCATGAAAAAACATATCACCACATTATTATTGGGATATGCATGTATGTGGGGGAGAAGTGAAATCAGGTACAGTGTGTGTGTGTGTTTGATGTGGGAGCAGATGGCTGGGATTTAAACAATGTATATTAACACAAGCACTGAACCGGTGTGGCCACTACTGGCATTCCTCACTCCTTGGGAATTCTTTTTTCTTTATCTTCTGCGTCTTTGCCGTACTCTTCTCTTTCTTTTCCCAATTGTACTTTCTCTGCCTGAGGACAGTCTGTTCCCCACTTTATTTCTAGTGCCTGTCACTTATATGGGGTTAATATATTTGCTGATTGAACAGATCTTTGTGGCTCCCCTTATCTCTCAAGGGTAGCAGAATATGCCACCCCAAAATATGACTGTAGGAGTTCAGGACACACCCAAAACATGCCACTTTGGTATATAATTCTGAGCTGTAGGCACTTGAGAAACAGCAAATGCAGGGAGAAGCTTTCCCTGAACTTCCCTTCTCTGCCTATCAGTCGTACCTCCCATTTCTTCCAAAGGTTCATTCACCTTTCTTAAAAGCTCTATCCCCCCTCCCCTCCCCTATTAAAATGCTACTTAATCCTGAATTTGAAGTCACCTTGGGGAGTTACTCATTTTTTCCTGGGTTTCCCCCATGTATAATGAGGGACACATGTTAATAAACTTCTGTTTTTCTCTTGTTGGTCTATTACATGGGTCTCGGTCAAAGAACTCAGAAGGGTGGAGAGAAAATTATCTTTCCTCTCCTACATATCTTCTCTGTGTCTCCTTTGTGTAGTCTCCATTCTTACTTCTGAATTGAGGCTGTGGAGGTGCTGATGAATGGGAAGGAGGAGGAGATTGGCAGGGATGACCAGTTGTCTGGCATGGATGACAATTCCATGTTTTTACCAGACCATGCCCACTGCATGCCCAGTATCAGCAGCGTTCCTCTTCTACAAGCAAGAACTCTAACTGGAACTCATACTATCATTCCTTCCCTAATGCACTAACTCCAAAATGCAAACTCAGTGTTTTCCAGTCTACTTCCTATAGGGCATAATCAACTTGCCGATGATGAGGAAAAAGCTAACCATGATGCAAGTAACACAGGAGTTGAAAAAACAGGTCACAGAACAAGATTAGTATGATCCAATTCATATTTTTTTTTTCTTTTTCTTTTTCTTTTTTTTTAAAATATATTTTATTGATTTTTTACAGAGAGGAAGGGAGAGAGATAGAGAGTCAGAAACATCGATGAGAAAGAAACATCGATCAGCTGCCTCCTACACATCTCCCACTGGGGATGTGCCCGCAACCAAGGTACATGCCCTTGACCGGAATCGAACCTGGGACCTTCAGTCCGCAGGCCGACGCTCTATCCACTGAGCCAAACCGGTTTCGGCCCAATTCATATTTTTAAAAGGAAAAAAGATACACGTATATGGTCTCAGATGATATGTAAAAGCATAGACAATGAAATGTTAATGACAAGTATCCATGAGAAGGGTGGGGGTGCGGAGCAAGAAGAGCTCATGTTTCCTTTATATCCTCATGCGCGGAAGTGGAAGCAACGAGAATAGAGTTGTGTGTTACGGGAGACCAATTCTTACTACCTCAGTCATCTGTCCTGCCTGCATCTGCTTCCAGCCACTGGTTCTTCCTGGGATCCAGCTGGCTTCTTGCAGGTGCAGCCTAACAGTGCCACCCTGTCCAGTCCTGGGTTTCTGGTTCCTCAGGCCGTCCTGCAGGATTGAGCAACTAGTTGTGCATAGGGGTAGCCAACTTGAACATGTCAGGCATTTTTGTAAGGCTCTTCCCACTCCTCTGCTTCACTTTCCCTGTCCATCCCTGGCTCTTGCTCCCTGGGTCCGAGTCCTGAATAGAGTATTTGTGCTTAAGCGTTTGTCTTATGCTCTGCTTTCTGTTGAACCCACACTAACACCGTTTATTCCTTGTTTATTTATTTTTTGTAGAAGTAAATAGAGTGGAGTGGAGAGCAACTAAAAAGTTAGTTACGAAAAAGGCAGAAGCATTTCCGAATTATAAATCCTAATTTACTTTAAATCAGGCTTTCCTATCTTTTTTCTTTAATGAAATCATGGAATTAAGTTCAGGTTCAAGGAAGGAACGGCACAAAGCCTCATCCCCAGGATGAAAGCATTACTGTGATTCACCTCAATTCAAACATGAGGTTTAGCAAGGTGCCAAAGACAGACAAGCGACGTGCACAAAGAAGAAATAAAAAGGAAGCGGTACTGGGAGAAATGCACTGCTAGCATTTAATAATTTAACATAGTATAAATTTCTGAATGAGGGAGAAAACCCAAACAGAGAAAACCAGTCATAAGGATTATGCTTGAATTTTAAGACCTATTCGTAGCTTTAAAAAGGTCACGGCATTTTAAAGTTGGGTAATTGTTCATGGATGGCCCTCCGGTTTCCTGGGCCACAAGAGGCCGCGGGGTCAGCCTGGTTGTTGAAGGCAGGAGGCCTGAGCTTCTTACTGACTGTATTGCCTTTGACAGCTTTTCCCTCTTTGAACCAGCTTCTTCTCTTGCAAAACAGGTTTAATAATACTTGTCAACTCCTTCAATTGCCCGGGTTTTGTGCTCTGAGTTATTTCACTGACAGGTGTTAACAGAACAACTTATCATTGCTTTTAACTTCTTGACAATGATGTGCTTGTTACAGATTCTCCGAGATGATTCATAGCAGAGAAAGGAATGACCTGGTGAAATAGAGATGAGAAGGGTTTCGACCAAAAAGGTCACACTAATAACTGGTTCGGCCCAGAGTCCGGGGCTATGCTGCCTTTTGCATTCCATCCTTTCTTCTTCTGGCTACAAGCTTCTGACACACTGTACAACTAGCATAAGGATCGTACTATTAGTTATGACCCAATTAAAATTCATTGCGCTCACTTATTATTCCTCCTGCCTGTGCTCTCCAGCCCTACCTGCTCTTCTCAGTCTTTGTGTATGCCACATTTACAAGGAGGAGAGTACTTTCCAAA